ATAACACACAGTTGATCATATGATATGTGTGTTTGTGGTGGTGTGAATTTAAGACAGAGTGAGTAAATAACACACAGTTGATCATATGATATGTGTGTTTGTGGTGGTGTGAATTTAAGACAGAGTGAGTAAATAACACACAGTTGATCATATGATATGTGTGTTTGTGGTGGTGTGAATTTAAGACAAGAGTGAGTAAATAACACACAGTTGATCATATGATATGTGTGTGTTTGTGGTGGTGTGAATTTAAGACAGAGTGAGTAAATAACACACAGTTGATCATATGATATGTGTGTGTTTGTGGTGGTGTGAATTTAAGACAGAGTGAGTAAATAACACACAGTTGATCATATGATATGTGTGTGTTTGTGGTGGTGTGAATTTAAGACAGAGTGAGTAAATAACACACAGTTGATCATATGATATGTGTGTTTGTGGTGGTGTGAATTTAAGACAGAGTGAGTAAATAACACACAGTTGATCATATGATATGTGTGTTTGTGGTGGTGTGAATTTAAGACAGAGTGAGTAAATAACACACAGTTGATCATATGATATGTGTGTTTGTGGTGGTGTGAATTTAAGACAGAGTGAGTAAATAACACACAGTTGATCATATGATATGTGTGTTTGTGGTGGTGTGAATTTAAGACAGAGTGAGTAAATAACACACAGTTGATCATATGATATGTGTGTTTGTGGTGGTGTGAATTTAAGACAGAGTGAGTAAATAACACACAGTTGATCATATGATATGTGTGTTTGTGGTGGTGTGAATTTAAGACAGAGTGAGTAAATAACACACAGTTGATCATATGATATGTGTGTTTGTGGTGGTGTGAATTTAAGACAGAGTGAGTAAATAACACACAGTTGATCATATGGTATGTGTGTTTGTGGTGGTATGAATTTAAGACAGAGTGAGTAAATAACACACAGTTGATCATATGATATGTGTGTTTGTGGTGGTATGAATTTAAGACAGAGTGAGTAAATAACACACAGTTGATCATATGGTATGTGTGTTTGTGGTGGTGTGAATTTAAGACAGAGTGAGTAAATAACACACAGTTGATCATATGGTATGTGTGTTTGTGGTGGTGTGAATTTAAGACAGAGTGAGTAAATAACACACAGTTGATCATATGATATGTGTGCTTGTGGTGGTGTGAATTTAAGACAGAGTGAGTAAATAACACACAGTTGATCATATGATATGTGTGCTTGTGGTGGTGTGAATTTAAGACAGAGTGAGTAAATAACACACAGTTGATCATATGATATGTGTGTTTGTGGTGGTGTGAATTTAAGACAGAGTGAGTAAATAACACACAGTTGATCATATGATGTGTGTGTTTGTGGTGGTGTGAATTTAAGACAGAGTGAGTAAATAACACACAGTTGATCATATGATATGTGTGTTTGTGGTGGTATGAATTTAAGACAGAGTGAGTAAATAACACACAGTTGGTCATATGGTATGTGTGTTTGTGGTGGTCTGAATTTAAGACAGAGTGAGTAAATAACACACAGTTGGTCATATGGTATGTGTGTTTGTGGTGGTATGAATTTAAGACAGAGTGAGTAAATGAGTCATTCGGTCAGTAAATCATTCAATCAGCAGGTGGGTTGGCATGTAGAGTGGTTGTGTGTGGGTGAGTGAAGTGAGTGAGTAAATTGATGGGTGAGTAAGGGAGTAAATTGGTGGGTGGGAAAGAAGGTGTTTAGGTTGGTGGATGAGTGAGTGAGTGAGTGACTGAGTTAAAGAGTGGGATCATCATCACATGACTGATAATCACAACAGTGATCAAGCTTAAATGTAATCAGTTTTTTTCTTTTTCCATAAATCTTTTCAGTCATTATGACTGCCTCTTTCTGATGCTTATGATAATTATCTTTGTTTCTTATTCTCTTTAAAAACTATTTATTATTGTTTCTGAAGATATTTCACTATATATGTGGTTTACTGATACAGTGCAGGTGACTCACATGATGTAATTTTTTAGACAAATACAAAGAAAGCAATTAGGCATAATACACAAACAATTCAACCAGAAATGGAAACGATAATAATATATATGGTTATAAAGGAAATATTTTCAAATAATACGAGGAAAAAAACAAAGCAAATTATTTTGTCAGTGTTACTAGCTGTGAAAATTGACCCCTCATTGTTTGTTCATTCATGAATTCCTTCTTCTTCTTCTTTATCTCCTCCTCCTCTTCCCTCTCCTACTTCAAAACTTCTGAGCAATTCATTGCTGCAAATATCACCTGCTTCCATTCACATCTGTGATTGGCCTTCTCTTTCCAGTTGGTGTCTCCAAGTGTTTGCAGGTCTGTTTGCATATTATCTCTCCACAGTCTTCTTGGTCTGCCACATGATCTGATCCCATTCAACTCTTTTGTATACACATTATTTGTCTCTCTGTTAACTGCCATCATCTCTATATGCACCAACCTTTGCAGTGTATTAGCCCTCATGATGTAATTATTGGTGTTTTAAATAGTTTATGAATTTAATTGTTTCTTCTCACTCTCCATCTCCACTGATTGATACTTTGATGCATCTAAGGATTTGTCATAAGTCTCTTCTCTAAAGTTTGTATTAAAAAAAAGTAAACAGACTTTATCTCTTTTAGTTATACTTCAGATTTCAGAGCCATAGAGGACAATTGGTCTAATACCTGTTTTACATATACTGTAATCTTTGTGTTATGAGTTAGAGCATTTGATTTTGAAAGATGTCCCACAGTATAGCCTACTTTATTTCCAGATTGTATTCTTGATTGCATTTCTTTTCTTAGATGTTTGAAGCACTTGCAGATATCTAAATTAAGTACTGGTGTCTGTTTGGGTGTTTCAGGGGAAGCACAGTGTGCGCCTACAATAGTTATACTAGAATCTACTATGAACATTGTATCAGGTAGTTAAAGAAAGGCTAATGTGAGACAGGCCTCCTACACTTGTTGAAAACTTTAACAGTAAAATCAAATCCTTAATAAATCTTCAGTCTGTTGCAAACCTGTGCTTCATTGAGAGAACGAACAAACGAACAATTGTTTTTTTCCAAGGGTTACAAGATGAATGAGAGATGAATGTTGAATTAGCTCTTTCAGGCCCGAGCTACACTGTATATGTTGATTGAGAAGTTCCAATTTTACCAAACCACACGGTCTGCGTCGATCATGTGTCCAGTACATAATGATTTGCATACTGCTTCATATTCGTTTTTAGGGTTCAGAACTACCATTAAAATATTCAGGAAAGGTTACTCTAACAATTTTATTTTGTTTATAAGTCTTTGTTTACACAATTTAGGTGCAAATGGATTTTATTAAGAAGAAGAAGAAGAAAAGAAGAAAAAGAAAAAAAAAGCAGAAGAAGATGACAAAGAAGAAAGATGAAGAAAGAAGAAGAAAGAAGAAAGAAAAAAGGAAGAAAGAAAGAAAGAAGAAGAAAGAAGACAGAAAAAGAAGACATAATACTGCTTTCTCATCCTGTTACATCGTCATCTTGTGCCATGTTGATGACTGTATGCAGTAATGTTTGACCATTTCACAAAATCATCAGAATCACAGATCAGGTCAATGCTCTTATCTTGCTCCCATCCGTATGGCCAAGCCATCCAGGTATTTATCTCTTTGCCTTCTCCTGGCTCATTTCCTATCAATCTTGCCAGCTGCAAGCAAGTTCTCAAGTCCAATCCTCTTTATAACAAATCCTAAAACACTGACTGCATACATCTAATTTCTCCAACCATATAAAAATTTGCATCTGTCAAGAGGATTGCCTTGTTTTTTTTTTTTTAAACTGTTAACTGCAAGAGGAGATCGGATATAAGTTTACACAGTGTGTTAAAAGTCTATGTTTCCCTGAGATTTGAAAGACAGAAGAAGAAATACTGATCTCTAATCCTTTAACAGCCAACAACTAAAACTAAAAAATGCTTTTTGATTTTTTTTTGCAGTGAAACAAATCCATCATTAAAAGTAAACCAACACCAAAAATTACACATTTCTGCTTAATTATTTTGCAGTGAATTAAAAACTTAGTTAAAAGAATACAACTATTGCTATAAATTGCTGCTTGATTATTTACAGTGGATCAAATACATAGTTAGTAGATAACAACAAAAACTACAAATAGCTACTTGATTATTTACAGTGGATCAAATACATAGTTAAGAGATAACAACAATAACTACAAATTGCTACTTGATTATTTACAGTGGATCATATACATAGTTTAGAGATAACAACAATAACTACAAATTGCTACTTGATTATTTACAGTGGATCAAATACATAGTTAAGAGATAACAACAATAACTACAAATTGCTACTTGATTATTTACAGTGGATCAAATACATAGTTTAGAGATAACAATAAAAGCTACAAATTGCTGCTTGTCTATTTACAGTGATTAAATACATAGTTAAAAGATAACAACAAAAACTACAAACTGCTGTTTGATTATTTACAGTGATCAAATACAGAGTTAAGCGATAACAAAAAAACAAAACAAAAAAATTGCTGCTTGTTTATTTACAGTGATCAAATACATAGTTAAGAGATAACAATAAAAACTACAAACTGCTGTTTGATTATTTACAGTGATCAAATACATAGTTAAGAGATAACAACAATAACTACAAATTGCTACTTGATTATTTACAGTGATCAAATACAGAGTTAAGCGATAACAACAAAAAACTAAAAATTGCTGCTTGTTTATTTACAGTGATCAAATACATAGTTAAGAGATAACAACAAAAACTACAAACTGCTGTTTGATTATTTACAGTGATCAAATACAGAGTTAAGAGATAACAACAGAAACTACAAACTGCTGTTTGATTATTTACAGTGATCAAATACAGAGTTAAGCGATAACAACAAAAAACTAAAAGTTGCTGCTTGTTTATTTACAGTGATCATATACATATTTAAGAGATAACAACAAAAACTACAAACTGCTGTTTGATTATTTACAGTGATCAAATACATAGTCAGAACAGAAACATCAAGTACTTCGGGTGCAGGTACTGCTGCCAAAGTTTATGTCACAATCTATGGGCAGAAAGGAGACAGTGGACGCCGACTCCTGCTCATAAATGGGAGAGCAACTCAGTTTAGACAGGGGGAGGTAAGTATACAGTCTGCTTTATTTTACTTAGTTTTAGATTGTTAGAGGGGTGCAGAGCTTCAACGGCACATTGTGGTTTCATACATAGTGGTCAAGACCTGCCTAAGCCTCTCCACAGTCATCATTGACACAGATTCCATGTCTAGGACCTGGCCAATGTAGACAGGATTGGCTTTTCCTTCTAAATCAGATTTGTCTACCTGAGAGGCAAAGAATCAACAGCCTACAAACAAATAAGCCAGACCTGTCAAATGAATGTGCAAGCAACACTATAGTCCTAGAACAAGACCGAAAGTCCAGAACAGAATGAACAACCAGGACTTTCCACTAGAGTTGATAGCTTGTGAATGCGAAGAAAAAAAAAAGAAGATTGTTAAGGGGCCATGATTCAAAGTTGCTAGCATGTTTACTTGTCAGTCCAGTAGGCGTGTGTTTGGATCATCATCAAGATAGGATTTTTTTCTTTGAATGTACCTGGATGCCTTGGTTGACCCAGCCTAAATGGATACAAGAAAATGTTCATGAAAGTCAGAGTGGTCAATGTGGAATCGGCCAAATCACTCATTTAGTGCTGGTAAATCCAGTTTTCTTCTTCTTCTCCTGCTTCTGCTCCTCCTCCTCCTGCTTCTTCTGCTCCTGCCTCTTCCCTTTATCCTCCTTCTCCTCCTCCTGCTTCACCTCCTTCTCCTTCTCCTGCTTCTCCTCCTCCAACTGCTGCTGCTTCTTCTCCTTTTTCTTGCTTTCTGATTTACACCAACGAACATTCTTTTGATAACCTTGACTGTTTTTAGGAATTACCTTTTGGTCTTTCACCAGGTCATTGAAATAAACAAAGGACTTTTTTCCAAAATGACCTTGGTTTCCAGCTGACCCAGCCTTAGATGAGTACCAGGTAAAGTCCTGAGAAGTAAAGGTGGCCGGCGTGATGTTGACCACATCGCCCATCCAAGTGCCAGTTGTTCTATAAAAGATAGATCTAGCACTATATACCAAATATGCTTGAAGACATAGAAAAGGGTTCTTGTATAAAATGAGTTAATTGTAAAATATCTATTACTTCAACTACTGTTTATTTCTGTTGACCATCATTTGTATTCAAGGAAAACATGTTTGAAATTGAAGCTGTTGATCTTGGCAAGCTTGAAAAAGTGGTTTTAACAAAGGGCTCTGGTGATCCCTGGCTGTTGAAACATATGATCATCAAGGCTGGGCTTTATGGACCAGAAGAATACATCTTCTTATGGAACAAGTAAGACTGACAGAATTATAACTTTCCTCAAGAATATATCTTCTTATGGAACAAGTCAGTCTGACAGAATTATAACTTTCCTCATCCTCTTCTCATAGTATCGTTGTCATAAAATAGCTTGCCAGCTGGCAGGGGTAATAATGCCTCTCTGAAACATGTGATCTCGTCGGGTGTGTCAAATGATTATCAAAAATCTTCTTGCATTGTCCTCCCTTCTCTCTCTTTCCACAAATCTATTCCAGATTCCCTCTTAAAATGGCCAAAAAATTATTGTCTTTTTCTGATTTTTCTGATAAGTTGCCTTTAAGCCATCACCTCTTTCAAAACAAGTGGGTGACTCATTTTGGCTTTCCACTGATCTATAAGCACTCTTCTGTAAATCCACATTTCTGAGGCCTCAATAAATTTTTTTGACTTGCTTATTAATTGTCAAGAATTCATAGCCTTATCAAAAAGTATAGCCTAGTTTGTACTTACATTTCTGAGAAAGGATGTGTCTGGTTTTAAAACTTTCTGTGTGCCAAAAGTCCCCTGAAGTGGCCCAAACATACTGGAATACATGGTATACATTTTCAGTGGGTTGTAGGAGAAGATCTTAATTCTGGAGGCAAAACAAAATGTATAATTATGCTCTTTCCACCTAATATTTCCAGTATTGTTTTCAATTAAATCTTAGCTGTTTTTGTTATTATTTACTATTTTATTGTTATAACTAGTTATTGTTAATGGTTATTTATTTATTTATTGTTAGAGGTTATCGTTACTGGCTATATATTTATGTAGGTGGCTGCTGTTACTTAATTTTCACTATTGTTATTGTTCACAGTTGATTGTTATAACTAGTTATTGTTATTTATTTATTTGTTAGTAGTTATTTGTTATTAGCTATATATTTCTGTTGGTGTTTATTGCCATTGGGTATTTTTTTAATGTAAGTAACTGTTGCAGTTATTTTATTATTTTAAATTGACTATTATAACCAGTTACCATTATTAATGCTCTACCTCTGTGTAGAGAATCTTACATATTGCAGACACTAATCAGCATGAGAAAGGCTGCAAAAGAAATCAGAAGAGATAAGAAATCAATCATAAAAGAAAAAGCTGGCACATAGTCAATATTAAATTACACACAAAGACAGCAAATAAAATGGTTTGGGTTTGCCTACTTAAAAAGAATGCTTTATAATCTCATACCATACAAGAACCAAGGGATCTGGCCGATGCTCAACACTCAAGGGAAAGGCGAGATGGATGTACAATCAGACAGTTACTGGTACCATCAGAATTGGAACTCACCTGCTGCTCAAGATGGGAACGGAACGCTTATGGGAGTGTCCTGAGTGCTATGATATTGATTCTTAATTCAGTATTCAACATACCATACAAGACATACAGAAGAGAGATGTAGATCATTAGGTAAACTAATAACAAGATAAAAGAATAACAACAGAGAAACTCTAAAATAGTGCAGTGTGTCTGTGTTCAACGCAGCCAGAAAAACAAGAAGCAGAACATTATATCTCTCTTAACAGCCGAAGTGGTAAAAGATTTTAGGTCTCTCTTGACTATATGCTTGGGCCACTTCTGCTAAACCCACTGGGACTGAAAGAGTTAAAAGGGCAATTGGCACATTTTGTTGTGGTTTATATGTAGACTGAGTTATCTGCACTTTTCAGCCCAGCACATCAAATTTCAGTAAAACCCCAGTTAGTCACCTTTTAGGACATGCTTAAGGGGCTGTAGGTCAATTTTTTCTTTCCAACATGGGCCTAGGATCACGTCCCGAAATACTTTATACTGTGTTTGCGTTGACCTTTACTAGGCTATACATTCAAACATACTCACTCTGAAAAAAAAAAAGGTTTACAGAGATACATACACAATTTTCATTTGCTAAAGTTAAGAAGTTAGGTACAGACTAACCCGAAGAGACACCAAGAGAACAATAACCAAATCCAAAGAGGAATCATGGAAAAAGTATGGTGAACACCTAACACAGCTATGTACAGAATCATCAAGAGACTTTTATAAGAGTGTGAAAGCGATGCGATTAAGAGAAGAAAGCTTCAATCCAACATCAGTCATAAATGATAAAAATGGAAAACCATTATTCAGCCAAAAAGAAATTAAAAAAAGATGGGAGGAATATTTTAAAGAACTTTTGAACCCGTTGGGAATACATGAAACAGCAGAATTCCATTCAAGGGCTCCAGATCATCTAGAACCACACATCCTGCGGGATGAAGTAGAGAAAGTTATCAAAACAAGTAAAAGACACAAAGCAGCTGGTATCGACGGAATAACAACAGAAGTCATCCAGGCTGGAGGGGACACTATGATCACCTGGCTGGAGAGAATTTTCAATAGAGCATGGGCAGAGAGAAAGGTACCAGTGGATTGGCAAAGATCAGTTGTAGTACCTATCTGGAAGAAAAAAGGAAACAAGAGAGAATGTGGAACTTATAGAGGAATATCTTTACTAAGTCACGTGGGGAAAATGTATGCAAAGATCTTAGAAGGTAGGATAAGAGCAAAGGTTGAACCTCTACTGAGTAAAGCACAATTCGGTTTCAGGAAAGGGCGAGGTTGCACTGATGCCATATTTGCACTAAGACAAGTCTGTGAAAAGACACTCGAATACGATAAAGAGCTGAACGTGGTCTTTGTAGATCAAGAGAAGGCATTCGACCGTGTAGACAGAGATGTGCTGTGGAGAATTCTTGACGATTACGGAGTGCAGGGTCAATTATTAGACAACATCAGAGCCCTCTATGAAAAAAGTGAAAGTGCAGTAAGAACATCTAGTGGTCTTTCTGAATGGTTCAAAGTCACAACTGGTGTCAGACAAGGATGTGTACTGTCACCATTACTTTTCATAACATACATGGATAAGATCACTGTAGAAGCAAACCCAGACGTGTATGCTATAAACGAATTACTTTTTGCTGATGATCAAAGCATACTGTATCAAAATGAATATGATCTACAGGAACATCTGACTACTCTCAACAACAGCTGTTTACAACATAATATGAGAATCAGTATAGAAAAAACAGAAGTTATGAAGATCAGCAGAACACACAGGCCACTGAATATAAATGTTGGAAGTGCCAAAATCAAGCAAACCAAAGAGTTCAAATACTTGGGCAGTATATTTACAGAGGATGGAAGAATGGACAGAGAGATAGAAACAAGAATACAGAAAGCAAATGCTGTCACATACCAACTATCACCTCTGCTTAAACATCCAGATATAACCATGAAGACCAAAAGACAATTGATAAACACCATCTTCATTCCAACACTCTGCTACCAATGCCAGACATGGACAATCAACAAGACCCACGAAAGAAAAATAGAAGCCTGTGAAATGAAATGTCTAAGAAAAGCAGCGAATAAGACCAGACTAGACAGGATAAAGAATATAGACATTAGAAACACTGTAAAAACTACACCATGTTTAGACTACATAGAACATCAAAGAATGAAATGGTTTGGACATCTAACCAGGATGAAAAATGATCAAATAACATCACAAATTTTCAACCAAAGAAGCTCAGGATATAAGGCAAGAGGAAGACCAAGGAAACGGTGGATTGACGGGGTCTCCGAAACCTGCCAAAAGCATGGCCTCAGAACATCAGATGCTGCCCGCCTTGCTTACGGCAGGAACTTGCATCTCCCCACAACGCTTAGCGGCATACGTGGAAGGAAAAAGTAAAAGTAAAGTAAAGTAAGTAAGAAGTTTGCATGTGAGATACATATATAAGCTTAATGAAGAGAAATTACTAATTTGCAGAGGAGGACACACAAGTGTATGTGGATAGTTTCAACATTGTCATCATCATCATTACTATGCCGTTACACATCACATTGTTCCAGTTTATTCATCCATTCCATTAAATCCTATGCAATAATCTCAACATCATGGATGAATTCAGCCCAGCACTTCTGGTCTCTCACATTGACATTAATCCTAGGGTGTTTTTTTCTCTACATTCTCATTTCTCCAGCCCTTTTGCTTGGTAATTTCATGTTCACTTACCCTTTGGATGCACCCAATATATCTCCATCATTTTTGTTTTTTCTTATAACCTGATACCAGCGGTCATCTATATATTTATGTTATTTCTGCACCTTTCTTGAATTAACCCATGTATCGACCATGCATTTTAGAAGCCTTCTTGGATTGTGATAAACCCCCATGCTCTGCCCCTACCTACCCTTGATGATTAACCAGTCTGCATGCAGCTGCCCCAAATGATTCTCTAGGGAAAATATCGGTAGATCTATGTATGATGAAGTCACCATGCAAATGAGGCTACAAGTGTCCCCAAAACTATCTAGGAAGGCTAACCAAAATAACAAATGCCAGAAAAAGTTGGATATGTCAGTCAAAAGGCACAAATATTGGAGCTTTGCTGTAAACACAATACATGTACGTTATTCGGACAAACGATAAAGAAGAAGAAGAAAAATTCATATCATTTCATGTTTATCAGTATTCTTAGTCATTTAGTCATTTGTTTTTGAACGCATTTAACTTTCATTTAGACATCTAGATAACAACTAGCAACAATAACTTCATTAAAACTTAAAATTGACACAGATCATTGGAAAGTCATCTTTGTCAACATCTCTCTAGATCCCGTACATTTAGTGGAAGAAGGAGAATGTGGATGAGGAGAAAGAAGCAGAAAATGATGATGATGATCAACACAAAGACAAACAAAGACTGAAATCATAGCAGAACTAGAAAGAGGAAGAAGCAGGAGTCCCAAAGGATAATAATACACTGACAGAAGGGAAAGGCATGTGGTCATTTCAGTCACAAGGATGATTACCTCTTTCCCTTTAACCCTAACTATCACCTAATGTGTCCCCTTACTATTCACATTTAGTCAGTGCACACTGACTTTCCCGAAGGTCCATTTGGCTGTGAATTTAGTCTTTTTAAAAGTAATGTGCTTGTGACTTATCATAATCGTCATTTGCCCCATTGGATGTCTACTTTGAAACATTATGCAATTGAAATTGTTGATGTTCTTTCATTGTCAAATTATCTGAGTACGATTTAATTTTTTAAAATTCTAATTAGATGGATTGGGAATGTGAATGAAAGAAACCAGGAAATAGAAACAACCTTGATAGCAGAATTATGCAGACCAAGTAACTTTGCAGCTCCAATCAGCGAGTTTCCTGATTTTCCGGTCACGTGTATGTAATATTTATCTTTTCACAGTTACAAATGTTATGTTATTACAAATTTAAAAATTACCAGATATAACTTTCTACCTATATATATATATATATATATATATATATATATATATATAAATATATATATATATATATATATATATATATATATATATATATATATATATATATATATATATATATATATATATATATATATATATATATATATATATATATATTGTGTCTGGTAGTCTGGTAGTCTTAGTTTCAGCTTCATAGCAAACGGGTCGCCCCATCTTTGCTCCGCTCCTGTGCCAGCGAAAAACACTCAGAATGTCTATCACAGTCCCTTGTGGAAAAATTGACAGACTGCTGTCTCAGCATATCTAGCATACACTCGCATTAAAGCATATGGTAGCCATCCGAAGTGCTAACACAAACAGTCCAACATTAGAAATGCAGTTCATCATTGATAATAGCAGAACTTGTCGCCAACAAATCAGCAGTTGCCCGCGCGATCAATTTTAATACGGGCCCCGCCAGCATTGCACGACAGGCATCGCGCCATTTTCTGAATCTACAATTCACACCACCACGTTGGTCACAGTCGAAAAAAGACATTCCAAATGCAATCCGCAGCTCACAGGGTCACGCCATGCATTCAACTCAGAAGCTGGGCGACGAAACTATATCCAGTCTACAAATGGAGCAAAAATACTTCGGCCACCGTCCGGCAGAAGCAAAAAATTTGCCTCTGCTCCGAACAGCGCCGCTGTCTAGCGTCCATTTTAACCGGAAGACTCATATATATTGTGTGTGTGTGTGAAACACTTTCTGTACCTTATATTCTGAAGACAGAACTATAGAGGTTAGCTGTGAAAAGCCAATAAGCAGCCACTGACCAACTGACTGTGGGCATGGAGAGTGAAAGCGGGAATTCAGGATGGGATCTGAAATCCTTAGAAAATACCTCAGATGCTCAGAGACATACTTACCAAGTGAGTCAGGGTGCTATAACCTCTTCCATGGGTAGCTAGAACCCGAAAGCTTTGAACAGCAGTCCATCTAGGAGACTGAAAACTCTAAATATGAACCCCCAAGTTCAAGATGGGCCAGTGTACTAAGGAACTGGATGGCCACTGGAAAGCTGGTCATGAACATTGGACATCAGACAGGCATGTGGTCAAACCCTGCCTCTCCCTAGCAGGCGCAGGCAGGTTTTACTAGGGTAACCAGTCATTACTTGCAGTATTTTATTTTTTACGTGAGAGCTAATGAACGTCAAAAAGAAGATGTTGAAAGAATTAGAAGACTTTCTGGCATGATATTTTCTGTTAAATATATTACACTTCTAGGTGGACAGTGGACTGTGGAAACTTCTACAGGTCCTACAGGTATTACTGGTGATGCAACAGATGTTACAGTGATTTTCTGTGGTAGCAGAAAGGAAAGCAGTCCAGTGAGCCTAAGTCCACAGAATGATAACCCTTTCCAGCCTGGCATGAAAGATCTTTTTGAGGTTTGAAAATGTTATTCATAACAAGTACACAGTTATTCACAGTGTTTTTCCATCATCACCATCAATTTCCACTTTTGCAGTTAAGCATCGCTTGGGGGAATGGTTTGCGATTCATTGCTTGATGGGTAGCAATCTTCCTGCTTCTTGTCATAACTGCCCATTAACTATTCCCCCCCCCCCCCCCCCCCCCCATATATCTCCCACCTCCTTCACTCCAGTAACCTTAAAACACTTTTGGGCAAGGCATAGTATCTGTTTAACCCCATAATCAGGTTAACATGAAACCATGAAAGCAAGTGGTGGCATGAGCTTGAAGGCAGCCAACAGATAGTTGTTGGTCATGATCTAAGGCTCCCTGACCATAGGGCAGAGGATCACACTGTAGTATTAATGGCTACGGTCACCCAACCATTGTTGTGACTGCCAAGAAGAAACGCAGTGGCACACTATCTTCTTATAGATGCCAAAAATAGTCATGATTGGCGACATGAAGCCAGTCAGCTGTGACTGTTTCCCATAGTTTGGTACCTGAAGCATAAGTAAAGCCATTCAGTCAAAACCATTTCCCATTATCTTGAGGTTTTCAGTTTTAAGTTTGAACAACGAATCAACATCATGGCACACGGGTAGTACCCCGTAAGTGCTCCATTCTTCTTCTAACTTAGGTCTGAGTCCGAAGAAGTTCAGCACAGTGCACATGCTCTGTAGCACCGGCGAGGATCCTGAAATACTTTTGGTAGGTTTTTCACTCTATATTTTGCCTGAGCAGCACCGTTAGGCTACTATTTTCGATTTCTAACTGCCAAGGGCTCGCAGCATTTTTCTCCATTATGTTCTATCCTTAATCAGTTCAGTACCATGCATAGAATCCAGTCCAGCACTTTTGACCTCCCTTTTTAATGCTCATTTAAGGGTTTCTTTTGGGTACCCTCACCTTCTTTGTCCCTTTATTTCCCATTGTAGTGCCTGTTTGATGACTCTCTGCTCATTTCTTCTCAGGATGTGTCCACTTTAGTACCATCTTTTCTGTTTTACAACTGTTGATACTAGTGACTACACCCTGTGTGGGTTCCAGGGCTCCATTGAGGGGAAAACAGGAATAGACCCATTGCCTCCCCAACAAGCATGTCGTCAGAGTTGACTATATGGGGGTTTTCTTTGAAGTCAGAGTGCATCTGCCTGAAAGGCACAAAGAAATAAGTCAGATATGTAAAATGAATGTGCACACAAGATTCAGGTTCTGAACCAAGACTAAGTTCAGAGGTGCATGAACAACCAGAACTTTCTGCAGGAGTTTAGAGCGAGTGAACGTGAAGAAGAAGAAGACTATTGGTTGTCCTAACATTTCTCTTATTTCTTTACTCCTCTTGAATTTATTCCAATTTAATTTCAACATTTTCCTGAGGCATTTAAATTTTGTTCCATATCTTTAGTGGTTCTCCAACTTTCACTGGCACATGTTAAAATTTTGAAAACTTTAGATTGAAAATAACTTAATTTGGTTTTTAAACTATATGGTTAAGATTGCATATTTTATTCAAGTATTAAAAGCTGCTGATGCCTTGCCAATGCATGTCATAATTTCTTTCTTTGTATTTCTTTCACTATCAGTAATTACTACCTAAATAATTAAATTGATCTGTTACTTTAATTCCTTTTGTCTCTAGAGTTACAATTGCTTGATCTGTTATTTATATTTATGTAAACAAAGTAAAGGAACCAATTCCCTCGCATTTTAGGCCCATTAGGCATATAGGGCTAGACCTATATTTTATAGACCAGTCAGGACTTAGTGGGTGATGTGTTCAACATCATGTCAACTGCCTTTACCTCCCAGGACATTACCTGGTACCCATGTAAGACTTCATCAGCCTGGGAGCCAAGGTCATTTTTGAATAAAGACAGGCTCCATTTGGAATTGAACTCACAACCTTCTGATCCGCATATGAGCATCTAGTAACTACACCATGATGGCTTCCATGTATATCTATATGCCTTAGTTTAATTTTGAGACATTTCATAAATGCAATATTTCATGAACAGTTTCTAATTTTTTCGTGCTTAAATATTACAGTTAGGTCTCGCTGAAGATGTTGGTGAGCTCATCAAAATCAGACTTGGCTTTGAGGATAACTCAGTACATAAGAAATGGCACCTGAAAAAGGTTAATTAGATAATATTGACTGTTTAGTATGTATAGTAAATTATTTTTTAGGAAGGTTCTACTGTGCTCTCTTAACTCTTTTCGTCTTGGAAGTTTTTTCAGCAGGAGGCGGGGGTGGGGAGATGTAATTTCTGTGAAACATCATGTGTGTACTGCTTTCAAAAAGGCTAGAGACACAGTTGGGTGACAGTTGGAGGAGTCAGATTTTTTAAATATTTTTTTATTGTTACTTCTCTGACAAAATTTAAACTTTATAAGAACACATGTGATGTTTGAGATTTATGTAAAATGACCAATAATGAACTACAAAATGTCTATTACAGTAACCTGAAAGAAAATTATGCCTAAAACGGTACCGATATTGCCAAGGTCAAGGTAAAGGTGAGAGAATTGACTTCATGGCACCAGGTTTTATCCCATATGGCTCAGTCTCTCTCCACAGAACAGCAAAATGCCTGCTTAGAGTGTCATAGAGTGCACAGCCTCTACAGCTCAAGTGATGATCCCTAGGAATCTCCATAAAAATTGCGCTCGTGAACTGAATGGCGCCACCCTGAAATAAACCGATGACTTTCAGAGCGTGAGGCAAATGGCTTGACCCCTTTACCACAGAGACAGCTAAAGATTATGCCTAGAAAAAGCCCTGATAATAACTCTTTCAGGACCACATTTTTTCTGGGGTTTGGACAACATTAATTTTGAGTAGAATTTTTAATACTGCAACATGACAAAACTAAAACCTTCCTGAAGAAAATGTATTGGCAGTATCGAGACAAATAGTATATCGAATTAAAGAGAGATGAGAGCAGAATAAATCTAAACTATTGAAGTGTCAGTATTACAGAAGAATTTTATCAAAATCACACAAAATTCAAGGATCTTAGACACATGTGAAGATTATTCCCACACAAAATGTTGTGCTCACTGTACTTGTTCAACAACACTGCTTTCTATTTCTAAAAATTCACTTGCTTTCTCTGTTCAATTCTGTATCAGATAGTTTTTTTTTTAAACAACTAATTTAAATACTTTGGATATTATGATCATTTTTGTATGACATGTCAGATTTAAAAAAAAAACGAAAATCAGGAAAACAGCCGATCAAAACAGATGATCCAATTGAAATATTTTATTAATTCTTCATCGTAAGCTAAATTATCAGCAGTAGGTTTATCATATGCATTATGAATCACAATATCAAGACTATTGTCACTATCTGGCTGAGATTCATCAACAACAGAGTAGTATGAACAGCTCTAGACCTTTTCCCTTATCATTTGCTATAGAAAAATCACGTAAAAATCGTATCACATCTAAAAATTTTTAAACAGTTCAGAAATTTAAACAAAAGCTATGCCGAATATTGAAAACAAAAGAACTTTGTGTCACTAATTCTAGTTTTTTAAAACATGTGCATGCAAATTCTTTTTCCCAGCAAATAAAACATATTAAAGTGTCTCTATGATGAGCCACTGTAGTGGCTAAAATTCAGAACTTGGTGGATTCCAAAAGCCACTTAAGTGGTCATTAGTCCCTAAAGTGTTAAGTATGTGTGAATCTTTATATTACCTAAAACTGCATGTGTATTTTACTTCTTTAGATCACATTTGAGGATAATGACACCAAAGATACATTCTCATTTGAACCAAGAGAGTGTCTTTCTGTCAGTGATGTTTCTGATGGCTATTTAGAATTTCCTGTCATCTGGCCAGGAGTTCCAATTCTTCCTAGTGAGATAATTTAATATTTTATTATTGATTGCCTGCTTGTGTTACATCTTGTAACAGTTTCATCTTTTTTAGATTTATATTTAAAATAGTGGAAAAAGAAGAATAAGAAGCCGTAAAACAGTTTATATTCTGTTTAAAATAACCTCTAATTACTGGCATTTCTAAGGCTAATAGATTGTAATGGTTGGAGCATTTACAGAGAATGGCAAATGACAGCAAGACAAAAACTGTAATAAAGAGATGAACAGGAGAAGACTACAAAGCAGACTAAGAAGACAGAGAGATAATATAAGGCAGACCTTCAAACACTTGAAATCACCAACTGGAAAGAGAAGGCAAATCAGAGAGGTGAATAGAAGTGGGTGATATCTGCAGCAATGAACATCAGAGAATCAGAATGCTAACGATTTAATTTAAGTCAGTAGGGGCTAAAATTTATCATAATTATTTCACATTATTTTTGTTTAAGTTTATCTTGACTTCAGATGTTTTTGAGGTAGTTTTTTTTTTTTTTACATTTTTTTTTTTTACATTCGGTAGAACGTGATATCACATGCTAAATAATTTAAATAGGCTTCAAATTGTATTTAAAAAATATTGCCAGGGTTGCATTTCCTCTCACTTATCATTTCTTTTTATTCAAGGCCTAGGACCAAAGATGATTTGCCAAAGCAGTCGCCACCAATTTGTTGATCTAGCACTGTTAATTCACCTTTCTTACCTTACTTTAGATTATAACCTAATGTAAGACCATTGTCCTAATTTCTCGGTTAATGCCCCTACATAAAGCAGACAACAAGCTAGAAAACACATTTCTGAATCTCTATGCACAAAAACTGTGAAAATCAGTTATTGATTCATGGTAATTGAAACAATATTTTTAATTAAAATTGTTTTATAAATTGATTGTTTGTTTTCCTGCAAAGCGTTTTTGAACTGGGCAAGCCTTACCAGTGTGAGGCTGACAGCTTAATTGTGTAGGTTACTATGGCTTCAAATCCAACCAGTCATGAAAGTCTACAGAGAATGTAACATGTATTGGGAGCCACTGCTCCGTTAGAAAATGTAAAGCAGGATAAGGATACTTTAACAAAGCGTAAGCGTAAAATCACACATATATTAGTTTACAAATGAACTATGTCAGTGTAACAGTAAAGGATCCTTTTCCACACCATCAGGAATATTTGCCTTACGGTGCTAGGCTTATATTTTACAGACAAACGGCATTTGATGGCTGATGTGGTTAACATCTCGCCTGCCACCTTTACTTTCCGGGACTTTACCTGGTACCCATTGAAGGCTGGGTCAACCTGGGAGCCGAGGTCATTTTTGAAAAAAAAAAAAAAAATTACACCTTTGTTTGGATTTGAACCCATGACCTTCTTATCTTTAGGTGAGCATCTAGCTGCTACATGATGGTGACTCCTACTATATAAGTGTATTATTTGTATATTTTTTGTTGAGTTTAGTTATATAATTTTCTGTAACTCTACCAACAAGGTTAGTCTTTTGTTGCTGGTTCAGCTTGACAACTTCTTAACTCTTTGAGTCCCTGGGGGTTTAGCATCACAGGCCCAGGGGGTAGTAAAGAAAGTAATAAAATCGGTGCATCATGTGTTAATTGGGCTTTTAGGTAGGAACCTATGAACGTATGATGCGTTTCTTGGGCCTGAAAGAGTTAAATATATATATATTTATTGGCTACTCATTTCAGTTGTGAAGTATATCATCACAATAGAGGCAGGAGATGTTCCTCATGCTGCCCTCAAGGAACCTATTCTAGTTAAACTTGATGGTGAAAAGGGCAGTACAGGATACCGATCTTTGAAAAACAGAACTGAGAGTCATCATCATCAACAGGGGCAGGTAAATTGGTTGACATTTATCTCTGAGATTTAATTTACTGAATCATGACTTTTTACAAATGTTATTGGAAGACAGTGGAAACATAAAAAACATCTTTACAATGTTGTTGTTGTTGTTGATTTCTCGTTAAATGTATAGGATATAATCTTTATGAATTTTAATTTAAAAAAGAATTCTTTCAGCCGAAATACACAAAATACACTGTCTGTTGTTTCACTATGTTTTACCATAATACTCTTAATAACCTTGTGTTTCTTTCGTTTGACTAATGATGAATGAGCCATTTCTAGGATCTTCTTCTTTTTAGTGTTTACCGGTTGTAAACCTCATCTGAAATTTCTGGCTGTTCATCCACTTCTGGACTTTGGCCTTGATCTAGCGCTTTAATTTTTGTGCACAAATCAGTTTCACAGATTTATCTTTTTTTGTATGCAGACTGTTGTTTCCTTTCCTCTCAGGCAGATGCATGCCAACTTGTAAGGAAACACACCTAATTAGTAGTTTCCCATGGCTTGTCATCAAAGCCTACCCAATGTGGGATGCAATTTTTCCTTATTTTGAAACCCCACTTCGGCTGTTGTTGGGGGCCCTAATATAACCTGATGGTTGAACATGGTTTCTGGGACTTGCGCCTGTGTGATTCTTATCCGAATGGTGGCACTTTATGTCACTGAATGTTTGTCGCTCGTTGTGCGGTTCTGGTGGAGTTGAACTTCATTCATTCCTTTGGCATGCTTGTTGGGAGTAAATTAAAAAGATACTTATATTTAAAACTGGAACTATAATGAAGTCAGGTCCAAAATCAGAGTGACTTCCCTTTCCATTCATGCCTCGTTCTGAGGACTCATGTCTACTATGTTGGAGGTGGGGGGGGGGGGGGGGGTGTGTCATGATATGGTTTGCTTTGGCATTTGGTCGGTAAATATAATGTTTGTCGGAGGTTGTGTTGTCGTCAGTCTCTTGAAGGCCCCCAGGCGACTGAGTACAAATAAGAAGGAGGTGGTGCAGCCGTGATGGTTTGTGAGATGTATTCCTATGTTTGTTGCCGGTGGCTTCCCCTTAGATGGAAAGCGTGCTTACAAGGAACATAGGAATAGAAAAACATGACAGTTTCCGTACTACCTAAGCATCACCCAGGTAGCAAAATATTGAAATAATCATGCAAGTCAGCGGTAACGAGGCGAAAAAAAAAAGAGGTTTTCAAGCAGTGACAAAAAAGGAATGCATGAAACCCCCACAACATAGTAGACTTTCTTTGTCAGAACGAGGCATGAATAGGAAGGGAAGTCACTCTAGCTGTGGGCCTAACTTCGTTACATGCACTGTAAAACTTTCTTATTTATGGACAGCACTGAGTGATCTCATACTTTCTGGGAATTAAATATCCCATACAAACTTGGGGAAAGCTTCACGTTAAGAAAAAAGAAAAATCTAATTCTAACTTTTTATGTCTGTACTTATCAATAAAGGAAAATACTTAAATATTTAATGATAAAGTAAAGATACACTAATATTAGGACAAATGCCTTTCTATAGTAGATATTAAGCCTTACAGTGTGCACTGGTATGGTTTTCACATTTACTTGGCCATCTTATCGTGTAGTAGAGTACACTTCTTGTGTTTTACTTTAACTCTTTTGATTGTTACTACAGAGCTTTATTCAAAATGTCTGTGTTCATTAAAGGTGAAATTTAAAAAAAGAGATATCTGATTTCTCTCAGAGATACTTCAGATAAGTGACTATATATTCTGCTTCATATTTGGGAGATTGTACATTTTTATAATGTACTGAAGAAGGCTCTCTAGACATAACATTCACTTGTCATCTGTATTAATGTGAAGCTGACTGGTTTTACTTTTCATTTGTGTTTGATATCTTCTCTTGATATGTGTTCATTAGAGTATACATCTTTGAGTCTTCATGAGTAACACTTTTATTTATGGGCCAGAACTAGTTAAAGTCACAACTGGGACATAATGGGTTATTGTAACAGATTAACAGGATTTTTGGTTCACTCCTTTATGTGCTTGACCGAGTCGTGTATAGTCTGTTATAGAAGTCATGGACTGATAGACATGCATCTGCTATGAATCTGAAAGGGTTTCACTGATCAAAACAAAAACAAACAAAAAAACTGAATACCAGAATGTTGCTCATCTTTGGTGCATGTCAGAAGTGAGGCGACATCTTTGAAATGTCATCATGACCTCACCCTGTTCCACTGCAACATATGCCATGTGATGAAGACTCTTGTTATCTTTAACGATATTGACAAGTTACAAGACAGAGGAGTGACTGGCGGAAAGGTTAGAATGCTAGGCTGTCATGCAGGAGGCCTGGGTTTGAATCCTTGGTAAGGCGGTAGATTTTTTTCTGTTAGAGGCAAAAATAAAATCCCTAATGGCACAGTATATGGCAACAGCAGTAGTCAAGCGACCTTAAATCCTAAGCTCAAAGCCCGCCCTCCCCCTTTTTTTGCACCTACACAGCAAAAGTAAAAGTGGTACATGCAACCAGTAATGGCAGTTTTTAACAAGGCAGTGGCATAGTTATTGTAATTTCTATTCACACTTTCAATGTTTCCATTTAAAGCCCCCTCGTATATTATGTTTGGGGTAATCAGTGAGCATGTATTGAGTTGTCTGTTGTTGAGAGTTACAAATTTAAACATCCTTTCACAATTTACTTATTTATGTTTGGGTAATTTATATTTTTTTCTGTTTTTGATTTTATATAAGACCATAAAATCAGAGATAGAAGTGGTCAGTCTGATGAGACTGAACAGCATTACAATTGGACATACCAATAATAATCCAGGTAACAATTGTAATTATTAAATTTACCTTTTTGTCTTTTTTTATCTACTAGTATATGAAAACTTGTAGAAGTTTGTAGAAATTTGTAGAAGGAAAAGGTACAAAAAATGCCATATACATCCTAAGGACATTGTCAGAAAGAGCTATAGAAGTAAAGACTGATTTGTACATATGCTTCATAGAAACATGAAGAAGTAATCAAACTGTTAGAAAAATTAAACATTGATGGGAAAGATCTACGAATAATAAAGAATATGTATTGCCAGCAAACAGCAGCTATAAGAATTAACAACTGTTTAGGTACATTTCAAAGCATAAAGAGGGACGTACGACAATGATGTGTACTGTCACCTGATTTGTTTTCAATATACAGTGAATATATAATGAGAGCTTTAATTGGTATGCCCGGAATTGTGGTTGGTGGGCACAATATAAACAATTTACGTTATGCTGATGACACAGTCTCGATAGCAACAAGTCAGAAAGAACTACAGGAAATGATAGACATTGTGGTGTTAGAAAGTGGAAGAATGGGCCTCAGTTTGAATAATGGGAAGACAGAAGTAATGGTGGTATCAAAGAAACGAATTATTCATAAGTGTGTAATAAAAGTTGATGGTATTATTTTAGGAAAAGTACAGAAATTTAAGTATCTGGGCACATGGATAACATCAGATGGAAGATGCATAACTGAGATAAGAAATAGAATAGGACAGGCAAAAACTGCATTTTATAAGATTAAAAACATCTTGTGCAATTTATCCTTGTCATTGAGAGTTAGAAAAAGAATTCTTGCTTGCTACATACATCCAGTTTTAACATATGGCTGTGAATCCTGGACAACCGGTAGGCAGGCCAAACAATTTCTGGAGGCCTCGGAGATGTTTTTTTACAGAAGAATGCTTAGAATACCTTGGACAGCCAAAAAGAGCAACCAAGAGGTTTTGAAAGAGGCGGGAGCCCGAAGACAACTTATCACAGACATTAGAAGGAGACAGTCATCATTTTTACGGCCATGTTATGAGAAGAGGGAAAATAGAACATATTATGACCACTGGAAAGATATGTGGAAGGAGAGATAGAGGAAGACAACGAGAGAAGATGCTTGACAGTCTTGTTGCATGGCATGGAGGTGGGTTGGCACATGAACTGATACATGCTGCAGGAGATCACAGATTATGGAGAGGCATGATCGCCCACGCCAATCGGCAAGGCACCTGATGATGATGATGATGGTATGAAAACTATTCTTATTATGTTAAGATGCATTATAGTCTAATTATTTTAAATCATAAAGATGACATCAAATCACCATATGTCAAGAATATACTTGGAATGCCAGAATCAGCACTGAGGAAGAAAATATTGAATGACAGTGTTATTATTATAATGTGACTTTATTCTTACACTTTTCCAATTAACCCACACACAGCATCAGACAAGATTTCAACAGTGAAAAAATTAGCACACAGCTAGCTAATAAACCACATAAACATACTGCATATGCACAATAATATTTTTCAACAGTGTTTGTCAGTGAGGTCAAAACGAGACTTACTTAAAAAATATGCCTTTTATTACAAGAATACCTCTGCCCAAGGTTCTAGCATGACAGTTACACAAATTAGTTGCATATTTGGGGCAAACTTAGAGCACAACTAAAAGAGATAATGCCTTATTACAGGTTTTTGAAAACAAAGTCTTACGACAACTCTTTGGACTCATCAAAGATGCAAACAGCGGGAAGTGGAGAGTGAGAAGCAATAACAAAATTCATAATCTGTTTAAATCACCTCTGATCACTGGCATCATGAGAGCTAATAGACTGAAATGGTTGGGGCATATTGAAAGAATGTCAGATGACAGAGAAGTAAAAACTGTATACACAAGGAGATGAATGGTCGTAGACCACGAGGCAGATCAAGAAGACGATGGAGAGATAATATCCAGACAGACCTGCAAACACTTGGTGTCACCAACTGAAAAGAGAAGGCTAACCAGAGAGATAAATGGAGGTGGGTGATATCTGCAGCAATGAACCTCATGGGCTTGGAATGCTGAAGAAGAAGAAGAAGTTGCATATTGTTTACAGAATATCACTGACCAACTCCAGCATTTATTGGCTGTTTGTGGTTTTACTAGGTAATTTTACATTAATTAGTTTGCCATTGCTTTCTGAATTGTCAGCACTCCATACTATTGTTAAAGTCAATTAAAAGCAGCCTGCAGCTTGATAATTATTGTCTGCGGCATCATAGTTACCATCTTTATATTCTTCCCTTGGTACTAATTTTAATTTATTAAAACCAAAGTATGCATTTATTAATTTTAATTTATTAACGGTATTACAAAAGGGTACTTATTCAAAGAATATGAACTGTGTTGCATAATAATGAAACAAAGTAAGCAATTCACCATTTTGTTATTTCAGGATCTGGGTGGTATCTTTTTGGTGTGACAGTACAACCAAGCAATGAAGAGAGAGATTATGTGTTTCTTTGTAACAGGTTAGCAAACATCATCATTTAATCACAGCATTATAGATCTTAGCAGGAAAAAAAAAAGGGAACTTATCCTAGTTTTAAAAAAAATTCCAGAACTTTTGAGCTACTAAATGTAAAATAAAAGAAAGTGAAGGAAGATTTACCAGAACCTTCCATTTTAGTGAAAAGCTTATATACAGATTGCTTACTGGACGTTGTAAATGTAAAAGTTTCTTGTATGGTAATAGGGTTTAAAATAAACTAGACCAGTGTGGTTACTGTGCCCATCTTTACCATCTTTCCCTCTCATGTTATAAAGAGTTTAGGTCAAAGTTAATTTCAGAAAGATTTACTTTACTCCACTAAGTTTTATCCTATATGGCTTGGCCTCCACAGAAAGGCTAGTCATCTGCTGATGTTACAACATTGACAAACTGTACATGATGATGAAACATAGCAAAGGAAAATGAAGAACACACTTTTATTTTGATGAGGCAAGACAAATCCAGAAACAGAATTGAGGCGAAAAACATCCATCATATAAGTAAAGTAAAGGACCCTTTTCCACGCCTTTACGTGTATAGGGCATATAGGGCTAGACCTATATTTTTATAGACCAATCGGCACAAGATGGGTGAAATGGTCAGCATCACGCCAGCCGCCTTTACTTCCCGGGACTGCACCTGGTACCAACTCAAGGCTGGGTCGACCTGAGAGCCAAGGTCAGTTTTGAAAATAGTCCGGCTCCACCAGGGAGCGAACCCATGACCTTCCGATCATCTGCGAGCATCTAGCCGCTCGGCCACGGCAACTCCCATCCAACAAATAACAAGGCAATATAACCATAATGAAAAAAAAAAGATAGAAGGATCCTAGTTAATACTAGGAACATAATTAGTTTTTCCATTTGTATTCATTCATTTGCACACACACACACAAAACCAGCATCTAATAAGTTTTGAAGTAACAAAGAGAATTCACATAATTCCACTGTTCTGTGTTTGTAGATGGTTGGATTCTGGTCAAGATGATAGGAAGATCAGCAGAACGCTACACTACAATGACAACATAAAGACGTTAAACACCAGCATACAGCCTATTGCTAGAATTGCCCCAATGAAGAAAATGCCCAGTACACATTTGGTACATGAAGACGAGATTAAATCTCCCGATGCTGAACCTGAAAAAGGTTAGTATTTTAGAAATGTGGAATGAATGTTCAATGTTTATATCTCATGCAATCTTTTGATCTCATCACTGGTTGCTGTAACGGTTCTTGATTCAGTACCTGGCTGCATGGATTCCAGGGATCTGTAGTGGGTGGACAGGGGAGTGAAGGTGAATAGATGGTACCCCTAAACAAACATCATAACAAGCGACTAATTAGAGATTTGCTAAATTTATTGTGTTGGGCTGCAATGCACAGATATCACAGCCTAGCTATAAACCACAACACAGTGTGCCAACCACGCATTTCAAGGCAAAGTCAAAAGAAGATGATTCTTTGACAGTTACCCCACTTATGCATTTGGGTGACCAGGGTGTCTTTATGAGACCAGTAACAGTGTCTTTGATTCTTTCTGAAGCACAGCACAATTTTATATAATCAGAATATTTTAGTTTCCAATGCAAGATGTTTACGAGCCTGTGTTTTTTTTTTTAACAGTGGTCATATTTGTTTAAATATAAGTAAATTTCACAGAAGAGATGCATGATTTCTAATTTTTTCTTTTTATTTGAGTTTCAGGTGCTGTACTATAGGTTCTACATGCAATATATATCCACTAATAATCTGCAGGAAAAATTGTCATAGTTGCAAAGATTTTTGCTAACAGTTTCTCTGGTATGCATGTTAACATAATACTTTTGCTAACAGTTTCTCTGGTATGCATGTTAACATAATACTTTTGCTAACAGTTTCTCTGGTATGCATGTTAACATAATACTTTTGCTAACAGTTTCTCTGGTATGCATGTTAACATAATACTTTTGCTAACAGTTTCTCTGGTATGCATGTTGACATAATACTTTTGCTAAAACTGTTTCAGTTTTCAAATATGAGATTACTGTAGTGACTGGACAGGAGCCGGGCAGTGGCACAACAGCTCAGCTTGTCATAGTTTTCTATGGCGACAAGGGTCATTCAGAACCATTCCTTATAGAAGAACATGGTGCAGTGATCTTGACTGAAGGAAGCATCCAGAAATTCCAGGTACGTGTTGTAAAATGTAGTAATTATATTATAAGTAATCAAGCAATATTTCCACATGCCATATGTTAAGTATCAGCTTATGCCAATTTTGCAACACCCGGCTATTAAAAAAAAATCTAAAAAACATATTAAAACGCTTTCTTTATTCCAGCTTTAGGTTGTCAGTGTCAAACTTTGACATTATTCAAAGAACTCAAAGGACTAGTGAAATGTGAAATGAGAATATTGAGAAAGGCTGCGTACAAAACTGAAGAGATAACGTGAGAAATAAAGAAGTTAGAAGAACTATTGGGACAAAACCCTTCAATAAAATAAATGAGAAACAAACTGAAATAGTTCAGCCAGCTAGTCAGAATGAATCCAATGAGGCCTGCCAACATCGAGAGCTTACAGCATGAGAAGGTAAACACCAAGAAGCAGAGGGAGATCTAGAAGGAAGATAGATTTAAGGAGTCACTTTAAAAAAAATACTAAGCTATTCTAAATCCTAATATTATTTATTATACTTTTGCCATTAATCTTATTCTGTGGTCATTATCTTTCTCCCAAATGCAGGTTTCCACTGACACAGATCTGGGCAACCTTTATAAAATTCGTGTAGGATTTAATGCTGCTGGGTGTGAACAAGAATGGTATTCTGACCCAGATTCCAGTCCTTCATGGTTTACAGAAATGGTAAGTTTCCATGTAAAGAAATGAATGCTTTTTTTTCTTCTTTATATTTCAAGATGAAAACTTTGCTTTAGTTTATGATGACATGAAATGTTGGCACCTTTCCATCACTTCAGAAGATAGTGTTCTGGTGTTCTGTAGGGAGGTATGCAAATCCCAACCCATGGCAATAGAACAGTACATAACCTGGGCATTATTATAGAGACTACAGATGTCCATGCATCATGATCCCTCTATTGCCCTTCTTGTTAGCTCCAGATGAAAGGTAACACAAATACTGTTAACCTTCATGCAGATGAACTCCTCAAATGAGTACCAGATAATTTTCAGTACTTTCTAATGTGAAAAGGTGGCAAGGAAGAGAACTGACATACCTACTCATTAATGTGCAACATCCCATGTGTAATATATATCATGCAATTATTTGAATTTTTTTTTTTTTTTTTAAATTATGGTATGACTTATTTTACGAAGTAAATTCCATTTCTTTTGGTACTTTTTCTCATGATTTAACTTTCGGACATTTATTTGTTTTCGCTAGTTCTATCGCAAAATAGCTGTTTTTAAAACTTCTGCTACTTTTTCTTTTGTCATCTCACTGTTTATTGGGTGTCATAGTTTTCTAAATTTGTCATGCTTTTCTCAAGTGGCTTGAGTGATGGATTTGTTCTTTTTGCAAGATTCAGATACACCATCTATCCATCTCTTTCTTGGTCTTCCTCCCGCCTTAAGTTCAGATGTTCTTCTGTTGCAGTTTCATATACAGTTTGGTCTGACTGCATTCCACTTGGATGGCTAAACCCCTTTATTCTGTCTCTTGATTTAATTCAATAATGTGTAATGATCAGCACTCTGTATGTATGTGTGTGTGTATGTGTGTGTGCGTGTGAGCGAGGGGGTGGACATGTATGTGTGCGTGCACCTATGCACATGCATTATACTATCCTTCTGTTGTATTTTTTCTTCATACTCATAATATGCATATTGTTAAACGAAAACATGCTTTATTGATAAAATGCAACTGCTGTGTGAAAGACGAGTGTTTGGAAGACCCATTTGTAAAAAGAGTCACATAGTGTGCCCAATTTGTGACCCTTTAAAAATAAAGTTTGTTTGTTTGTTCAGTCAGAGTCTTATTCCAACCTTCTCTCTGATGCAAGTATTAGTAAGCTTGTTCCTTCTTGTGTTGTTGGTGATTGTCCCTTCATGTGTTGTTGGTAATTGTCCCTTCTTGTGTTGTTGGTGATTGTCCCTTCTTGTGTTGTTGGTGATTGTCCCTTCATGTGATGTTGGTAATTGTCCCTTCTTGTGTTGTTAGTAATTGTCCCTTCATGTGATGTTGGTGATTGTCTCTTCTTGTGTTGTTAGTGATTGTCCCTTCTTGTGTTGTTGGTGATTGTCCCTTCATGTATTGTTGGTGATTGTCCCTTCTTGTGTTGTTAGTGATTGTCCCTTCTTGTGTTGTTGGTGATTGTCCCTTCTTGTGTTGTTGGTGATTGTCCCTTCTTGTGTTGTTAGTGATTGTCCCTTCATGTGTTGTTGGTGATTGTCCCTTCTTGTGTTGTTAGTGATTGTCCCTTCTTGTGTTGTTGGTGATTGTCCCTTCTTGTGTTGTTAGTGATTGTCCCTTCTTGTGTTGTTAGTGATTGTCCCTTCATGTGTTGTTGGTGATTGTCCCTTCATGTGTTGTTGGTGATTGTCCCTTCTTGTGTTGTTGGTGATTGTCCCTTCTTGTGTTGTTGGTGATTGTCCCTTCTTGTGTTGTTGGTGATTGTCCCTTCTTGTGTTGTTGGTGATTGTCCCTTCATGTGTTGTTGGTGATTGTCCCTTCTTGTGTTGTTGGTGATTGTCCCTTCTTGTGTTGTTGGTGATTGTCCCTTCATGTGTTGTTGGGGATTGTCCCTTCATGTGTTGTTGGTGATTGTCCCTTCTTGTGTTGTTGGTGATTGTCCCTTCTTGTGTTGTTGGTGATTGTCCCTTCTTGTGTTGTTGGTGATTGTCCCTTCTTGTGTTGTTGGTGATTGTCCCTTCATGTGTTGTTGGTGATTGTCCCTTCTTGTGGTGTTGGTGATTGTCCCTTCTTGTGTTGTTGGTGATTGTCCCTTCATGTGTTGTTGGTGATTGTCCCTTCTTCTGTTGTTAGTGATTGTCCCTTCTTGCGTTGTTAGTGATTGTCCCTTCTTGTGTTGTTGGTGACCTTTCAGCATCACCACATGTCACAGGTAGTTATTTCCTGCTCTTGTGATCAATGTTTGAGATTCTTTGACCAAAATGAAGGTATTAAAATTAAAAACTTTGATAAAAGAGTTGAGATGTGAGGGGTTGAGACTTTGAGATAAGTCACAACTGTGCAGAGTTGGACAGTGTAACAACTTAATAGGACACATGTATTCAAGAACAGTATCATTTAAGCAGAGCCAGCAAATACAGTGTGAGTTGCTTACTACTAATAAAGTTAAGATCCCTTTTTACGCGTTAGGCACTTCGATATTTTTACAGACCATCAGCACTAGGTGGGTAATGTGGTCAGCATTACGCAGGCCATCTTTACTTTCCCAGGACAGCCATCCTGGTACCCTTTTTAGGCTGGGTCGACCTGCGACGCACCATACCATGTGGGTTTTGATCACGTACGTTGGAATTACCAGTCAGACTCGCAACACATAATTACTACTGAATGAGATGATAAAATGCAATTTTAAATGCTAAATTTGATTTTCATTACTGTATAGGACTCTTCAAAAAAATTTTAATTTACTGCTTGTCTATACAATTTTTAAAATATCTCTCCCCCATTCAGATTCAAATTAAGAATATAAACACAGCACAAAAGCATCACATTGATACAAACCAGTGGGTAAGAATAGAAGCTGAGCAAGATTTTTGGAGAGAGTTTCCTATCAAGAGAGCAATTTCCAGTGAAACTCTTGCTGGTCAGTAGTCTATGGAATTGCTGTTTTGTTCCGAAATACTTGTTTATGTGTTTTGTATAAGATGTTAACTTATCAACTACTGGATTCAAAAATATGTTCTTGCAGAATGAATTTTCATTTTCAAATTTGTCATCTGTCTTTATCCCCCAGTGCATGAAATTCTCGTTATATAGTGTATCCAATAGAAAAAGAAAAATAGGTCTGAAACATTTTTATGGAGCAATGTTAAAAAATCACCTATATGTTGACCTCATGACCCACCACGTGCCGATTGGTCTATAATATATAGGTCCAGCCCTATATGCCCAAAACATCTAAAGGCATGGAAAAGACAAAGGACCTTTTTTCCACCTTTAAATGTTTTAAAATGTGGGTCTAGCATAATATGTCCAGTGCACCAACGAAAGAAGAGGGTCTTTTACTTTTACCTTTCAAGTTAAGAAATAAAGTTGGGAGGAACGACTCTATTCTGTTTAACTAGGTTTTATTCCGTTTATCTAAAAGGGCAAAAATAAAACTCTAACCTGCCTGTGGGACAGTCTATGGGGACAGCACTAGCCATGTGGCCCTAAATTTGCAGGCTCTAAAACCCCCTGCCTATACCACAAAAGTGGTAAAAGAAGGCAGTATTTGGCAGGTTTAAGGGAAAAAAATCCCATATGGATTAATTGCTCTGTAAGTGTGTGGGTGTATTGACATACACGTACATATGTGTGTGTTTGTGCATGCATGCTTGTATGTGTGTCATTATTTATAGTATTTAACTACTATTGCATTTAATGTTTTTATATTTAATGTTTAATTAAGAATCAACATCACAGCACTAGGGACATTTACATTAGTGCACAGCTCCCATCTTCAGCAGCAAATGCATAGTTCCTTATCCGATGGTACCAGTAACAGTCTCATTGTAAATCCGTGATGACAGCACTAGGAACATTCCCATAAGTGCTGCATCCCCATCTTCAACAACAAGGGCAGAATTACAATTCCAATGGTACCAGTAACACTCTGATTGTATATCCGCCTCACCTTTTCCCTGAGTGTTGACCATCAGCCAGATCCCCTGGTCAATTCTCACAGTACTATTCTCCTCAGACCATGATGATCCATCTGTACCTCCACACTGCTCACTCGCCTCCAAAGGGGCCCTTACAACATCTAGCTTGTCAAGCAATAATGCACCTATCACAACAGGCATTATATGCACAGATGTACACTCATGGCATCAGACACATGTAAGGGGAAGCATTTCTCCAAAGATTTGTAGCACAGATTGATCATAATGATTGTGAATATAGAAATTTATTGTTATTAGAACACATACAGCACAGTTTATGTCCTTGCCCTGTCCCTGGTCCTTTTTTTTCTGTTTCCTTCCTGGAAGGTTTCACAGCAGATTGTTATTTATTGCTACCTTTATTTTAAACAACATCAAAAGGCTATGGTTGAGTACCAGCAAGGAAATCACAAATACAATTTTGAGAGGTTTTGAATAACCGATCAACATCATGGCACACACGTAGTAACTCATAAGTGCTCTGTTCTTCTTCTAACTCAAGTCTGAGTCCAAAGAAGCTCAGCACAGTGCATGGGCTCTGTAGCACCGGTGAGGATTCTGAAATACTTTAGGTAGATTTTTAAATCCATATTTTGCCCCGGCAGTGCTGTTAGGCTACTCTTTTCCAACGGTTAAGGGATTTTTCACGTGCACACCAATGCACATGGGTGTCCGATCTCACTACCCAGAGACCAGGGGGAATAACTAGAAGTCCACGCGAAAAAATTCCAGCCCTTACCAGGGATTGAACTCAGAACCTCTAGCACTCGAGGCAGACACTATGCCTCAAGACCACACAGCCTTCTAAAAATTTAGAGAACATGCATCTAATCTATAGCAACGTACGGATGGGAGTCATGGACTATCTCCCAGTCCTTAAGAAAGACAATAGGGGCTTTTGAGCTGAAATGCTATACAAAGATTCTCAGAATATCATGGACAAAAAAGAGGAGAAATACTGACATTTCTAAAGATCTCAACATAAAGGAAGATTGGCTATTAAGCATCATCTTGTCTTAAAGCTGTTTTGTCATATCAAGCGTCATGACAACAATTAATAGCAGAAGGCATGGTACCAGGAGGAAGGGGCAGGGGCTGACCAACACGAAGATGGGCACATGATATAAGTGACTCCTTGAATATCAAAGTACATGAGGCAAGAGAGCTGGTGAGAGACTGCGTTTTTTTCTTCAGGCATACCGTGATGAGAGCAACGTTCTGCAAAGGAAATGTTGCATGATGATAATGATGACCTTTATTTTATTTTTAAAAAAATTTTTTTTTTAATGCTTATCTCCACTGATATAACAAAGGGAAGTCCTTACATGAAATTTGTTTAGTGTACATCATGGTAAATCACTGTTTAATAGAAAAGAAAATTTTTTTTATGTAAATTAATGTGATTAAACTTAGGAGCTGCTGTAGCTAGTGGCTAGATGCTTCTTTGCAGGCCTGAAGGTCTTGGGTTCCGATCTGCACTGTGGTGCATTTTTGTTTTTTAATTTAACATGGTCCCCATGTCAACAGAGACTACACATGAGTACCAGATAAGTAAAAGTGACTAGTGTGGCATTGTCCACATCACCCACTATGGGCCGACATCATAGCATCATATGCCCAGTATGCTACTGGTGTAAAAAAGGGTCTTTTATATATATACTTATTATTTGTCATTTTCAGTACAACTACCTTTGTAGCTTTCCACAACAAATAGATTACCAGAAGCTGTCAGATCCACCCATTTTAATTTTTTTTTAATGGGATGAATTCAAAAGGAGTGAAGAAATAGGAGAAATGTCTGGGCAACCACTATTATCAACTGTTATGAGACAGAGAAGATGATGCTACACTGGACACATCCTGAGAAGAAACCAGCAGAGAATCACCAAACATACATTGAAATGGGCAGTAAATGGATTAAGAAGATGAAACCCTAAAACTAACATTGATGAGAGAGGCCAAAGCTTCTTGACCTGATTCCATCCATGATATGGGACTGATTGCATAAGATACAATGGAATGAAGGAATAGACTACAAGCCCTATGTGACATATAATGGCACAACAGGATGGGGAAATTAATTATTGTGTCTCACAGTAATCACATATAATTACAAATTTAGTTTCTCACAAATACTGAAGAAACACTTGTTTAGAGCATTCATAATTGCACTGAATTTCATCTCGTTTATTTACCATTATGTATGCATTCAAGTAAGAGTTTTAGTTTATAAATTATCCAGATAATGGAACATACTTTTTTCATTTTCTACACCCGTATGTTCTATATATATATATATATATATATATATATATATATATATATATATATATATATATATATATATATATCTTTTCAGCTTTTAAATTAAAATGGAACTTTTCTAGTTCTGATCTTCTTTCTTCTTTTGTCAATATCTGCTTTGTGGAACTAGATGTCACATTTTAACAGATGATAGATATCTGAGCTAGGGCATGATAGATATCTGAGCTAGGGCACACTTGGTTACTTTGTATGTTGTGATTTTGTGAAGTCTTAGGTACTCAGCGCCTCTTTTAGTTCATCTTCTTCAAGGTGTGTCTCTGCCTTTTGGAGTTTCCATTTTCAAGATAAACACTCTCACTGCTGGCATGGTTGGATTCATTCTTATTGGGTAGCAGAACCACTGTGGTCTTTGTTTTTCAATGAATTTAATGATGAATGTTGTTTCAATAGCTTATCTAATCTTTTAACATAGTAAACTCTAAGAACAGAAACATGTTCAGAAACAGGAAAGAATCAATGAGTAGTCATGACAATCTCCTGCCAAAACAGGAACAGAAGAAAGGGGAAAATCTTCTTCTTCTTTTCCCTTCTTCCAGTCACCTGCATGGATTGTTGGGAAAAAGATGTAAGGATCTTATGTGTGCTGTTTCTAATGCATAGCATAAATTGATCTTCATTTCTCTAAAGCTGTTCCTGATGCTGTGTCCCATCTTTTGTGACTTTATCACATTGCTCTGTGTTCATCATTTTTCGTCAATGTGGCTGTGCAGTTGGTACTGAGGCATTCTCTCAGAGGGCCAAACCAACCTATCTGTTGCTTTTCAATTAATTTTACAACTGGTTTCAGTCCTAGTTTTATTCAAATTTCTTCATTTTCAGTTTTATCTCTCAGGAATTTGGCACAGAGTGAGTGAGTATTGATCAGTGTGGAGATCTTCATGGATAAATCATTGATTGACATCATTCTCTGAAGGCTGTGAATCTTATGCTCACTTATAGATTCTGTCACTAAGTCTGCATATATTTCAGATATCCCTGGGATCATCACTGAGTTATTTAGTTTTGTGTTTTTATTATGTTTTTACCAGATGAACAATTGCTCTGCCAAAAGAGACTGAGTCACATAGGATAAAACCTAGTGCATTGAAGTCGATCCTCTTACTTTTAAAATTTCATAACTGATCAATGTGTAAACAACTTTGTACAATGAGTTAATGATTACTTTGTTTCTCTTTATTGATCTGTAGTGCAAGACTACATAATAGATGTGTACACTGGGGACAGAAGTGGAGCAGGCACAAATGCAAATGTATACATACAAATTTGTGGACAAAATGGAGACTCAGGATGGCGCCACTTACACAGCTCTAAACAAATTTCCAGCAAGTTTGAAAGAGAATCGGTATATTTAGCACATTCTTTGTAGTATAAAGTTTATATAAATGTAAATGATTAATTCAATAGAATTCTGATCAATTCAATAGAATTATCTAAACACAAACAAAAACATACACAAACACACCTACACATAATACAGCTAAACAACTTATTTATAAACAAGCACATTACCTCAGTTACAAATAATGAAATGAACTTTTATTATGAACCAGTATTTCAGAAATGTTGCCCTTTATGTGCTTCAATAAAAAAATTGGTGCAGGCAGTTTTAAGTGTGGTTGCCAAATGTTGTTGATTACCTAGATGTAGAAGACCTCCCTCAAAGTGCACTGAACAAACAAAAATAAAAATAAGCAGAGAATAATACATCATTGATCAGGATCAGAAAATGACTACTGAGGATATTTCTGGTGCAGTTAAGCAGAGTAAAAGTACAATTGCTATAAAATTACACAACAAACTAAACATGAGAAAAGTTTGTGCCAGCTGGGTTCTCTGCCTGCTAACATGTGAACAGAAGAAAATTGAGGTAACATGCTGTTGACATTTACTCAAAGAGATCTGTCAGAAAACATTTTGACAGCTGTAGTGACAGTAGATGAGACTTGGGTTCACCATTATGAACCCCCACTCCAAAATTGCCAGCATTCACCGGAAAACTCCAGGTTCCCAGACACATATCAAGGAGTAATGCTGACAATTGTTTTTAGATGCCAAATGTGTTCTTTTGAAAGTATACCTACCTTGAGGCCATTCTGTTAATGAACAGTATTATGCAGGTCTCCTTACAAAACTGAGAATGGCTGCAATAAGAAAACAATGAATCGGCTGCAGTCAAACTCTCTCTTTGCTTCAGGGCAACGATTCTTCTCACAAAGCACAGATAGTGCAGCTACTAGCCAGCCGTTTGAAAATTAAATTTCTTCCTTATTCGCCATATTTTCTAGATCTGGCACCCTCAGACTTTTTTCTGTTCCGAAGCCTTTAAAAAAAACAGTTTAAGGAATATGTTTGCCAGTCATAAGTAACCTAAACTGATGTGATAACTGGTTTAGCATGAAAAATAGGCTATTCACTTCCCAAGGTCTTTTTAAGGTCAACCAGAGATGCCAGATTTTTTTTTTTATTTGGGAGGTGGCGGTATTGGAAAAGAATAAACACTGAAGCAGATTTAAGCTTTCTGGGTCATTTCCTTCATAGACAGGGTAAGAACTTACGGATCACCCCTTGCACGTTGTTATCCTTGTTATCCTTGTTATTATGACTGCTTATTGCATTTTTATGTTTGTGTTGTCAGCATGACGTGTTTACAGTAACAGCTGTGGACCTTGGGAAATTGACCAAAGTAAAAGTAAAACATGATGGCCATGGCCCAGGCTCTGGCTGGTATTTGGATAAAATCAAAGTGAGAGAATCTCAAGAAGCTGCCACTGTCTTCCTGTTTGAATGTAACAGGTAATACAGTGTCAATGTTTGCGATGTTATATAAACATTTATTTTAGGCTTGCCTTTGTTAGTACCCTATCAAATTGTTTCTGATGTTGTCTTTAGTAGGGGATTTCTATCTGTAATCTGTTTTTCATTGCCAATATAATGAGATCTGTTATGTATATACCTGACGGCAAATAGTTAATTAGTCCTGCTACAAGTAAAGTAAAAGTAAAGGTCCCTTTTCTACGCCTTTAGGTGTATTGGGCATATAGGACTAGATGTATATTTCCATAGAACAATCGGCACTTGATGGGTGATGTGGTCAGCATCACGCCGGCCGCCTTTACTTCTCAGGACTGCACCTGGTATCCTCTCAAGGCTGGCTCAACCTGGGAGAGTCCTGCTACAATATTTTATAAAATATTTAATAAATAAAAAGACAGTTTAAGCCAATCATTCACAGTCTAACAGTTTTGAAAATAATCTCCCCCCCCCCCCCCCCCCGACCACCACCTTTCTTCACAGGGATCTATATTCTATCCAGCTAGTTCATCACCACCTTAACAGTGAAGATTTTATCCAAATGAATTATCCCGTGTGTAATGTTTGCTTCTTCAAGAGAAATTCTATTCAAGGTAGCTAACTCTACGGAATCATTTAATAGCTTTTGTGTACTAATTTTGTTGAAGTCCAGAATCACCCATTTCCGAGCCTATAATGACTGTCCTGCACATAAGTGACATTTGATCTTTCTTGTGAAATAAATACACAGATGGCTTGATGAAGGAGAAGATGATGGAGCCATAGAGAGGGAACTGGCATTAACAGATGTGCTCGAAGAGAAATTAGAATCTCATCATGTAATGGCAGATGATAATGAAGATAATGATGATGATCGTGACGAAGAAGAAAAGCTTAAAGGTTAGTGATTAAAGTATTAACATCAAATTTCAAAGCTTCAAAAATATAGATTATTGCTGCTTGTTTGTTTGTTTGCATACACTGACTGTAAACCCTGGTGGAAAGTAATGGTTGTTCGTCCATTTCTAGACTTTGTCTTTGTTCCAGAATTTGAGTTTTTCATTTGCACTTGTTTTACAGATCTGGCTTATATGTATACAGACTGTTGGTGCCTTGCCTTTCAGGCAGATGCACTCCACTTTTGAAGGAAACACCCCTAATTGGTCGCCTTTTATGACAAGCTTGTTATGAGGGCAGTAGGTCAATTCTGTCTGGTTTTTTTTTTTTTTTTGGGAACTTCTTATATATTGTGAAATTATGTAACATAACTGCTTTTCATTTTTAAACTACTTGAAAACATGAAGCACTTTGCTTGTCATCAAGGACATTTTCTGGAAAATAAAGGTAGCAAGTATGATTTTGACATCACCAATCATTCACCCCAGCACCTCTAGATGCTGAAAAACTGACACTTCCATTTGGATCCATTTCCCCTTAATGTCACTTTTCGAACTTGTCTACAGTGACCTTTTTAAGACACATAGTTGATGCTGTTGGCTGAATTTACACGTGTGCAAATGTTTAAGAGGTTAGGATATGACTACATTAATTAACAATAACATTCAGATGGGGTTTTCTTTACCAAGTTAGCAGATGTTCTCATAAGCCTCAGTGATAGAGTTCAAAGGGTCAAGGCATGAGTCACCCGCTACATGTATGTTTTTTGGCTTCACAGATGTATTCATTTTCATGCTTCACCATCTGCAGTTTATTAATTAATTCTTTTTATATCTTAATATAGTTTGAAGAAAGAAAATTTAAATGTAGATAAATACATTTTCTTTTAACAAATTTTTTGTAACTTCAATAAAAAAGGTTGTTTAAAAAAAAATTATTACATTCAAATGTTTGATGGCCCAGTTTTGTTAGTGTTCCTGATTAAGTAAAGTTAACAAACCCGGTAATTATTATTTTTTTTTAAACTGAACATCTATAGCTATACATCAGAGATGCATGCAAGCAAAACATGAATATTTTGGATCTTAACTAAAAAAATGCGTCCCCCCATAATATGCATAGGTACATTTGAGAAATAATATTGAACGTGTTGAAAGAAGAATAACATGCTGAGGAGGAAGAACTGTGCAGAAACAGATCTTCATGCTGCAAACTTTCCTAGTTATAGAATACATCAAATATAGTCAAATATGAATGGCAGAATATAACACTATTTATGCCCTCTATCCCCTAACTGGGCTAGCCCTCGACCAACTCATGCCAAACATTCCTAAATGCTAATTGACTTAAACCCATTTTTTGGCTCTCCTTTAAACTATGGCTGGTAGACAAAAGTAGACGGCCGGTTAGTCTGAGTTCTGTCCCTTGGCTACAGGGCAATTACGAACTGGAAAAGGCAGGAATCACAAAACAAAGTGACGTTGACATGCCTGGCAGACCCCGCGCTGCGACTCAATTTAGCGACCGCGTTCAAATACCGCTTCTTGCGACGCATTACGGAGTGGTTTAGAGGGAACGATACAAGTGACATAATTACTGTGTGTTGGCGTTAGACAGCGTGCAGTGCCCTACTGTCATCATAAGGTTAGGGTTTGGGTTAGGGTTAGGGGTAGGGTTTGGGTTAGGTTTAGGGTTAGGGTTTGGGTTGCTACTTTGAGTTTGTGGGAAGACAAGATGCGGCGACACTAACCGTAACCCAAAACCTAACCCAAACCCTAACCCTACACCTAACCCAAACCCTACCCCTAACCCAAACCCTAAACCTAACCCACACCGTAACCATATGATTATAGCAGGGCAGTGCATGCTGTCTATCGCCAACACACAGTAATTATGTCATTTGTTTCTTTTCCTCCTGTCCAGTCCGTAATTGCACTGTAGCCAAGGGACAGAATTCTGACTAACCGGCCGCCTACTGTTGTCTACCGGCCATAGTTTAAAGGAGAGACCATTTTTTAATTTTTTATTTGCTTTTGCAGTTGAACTTTTTACTATATAGTTTAGACAATCTAAAAACCAAACTTGTCCTATGTTGCCTCTTATGACACGCTTATTAGATTGTCAACCAAATAGGCAACAAATGCTGGGAGCTGGTTCTGCAATATCTTGTAAAGGACCACACTTTTTTTAAATAATTTTTAGTAGAGTGTGGTGCTCTTTGCTTCACCTAAGGGCTTTGATATCACATACATTGCATATTGCATCAAACTAAGACTAAAAGATTAGTACCGAGTCTACTGAAGCTGCAGTAGCAGGGGGTTACCTGTGCCAGCGTGCAGGTTTTGACTTCAGATCTGTTTTGAATCTGATTTTTATAATTGACCCTGGACTCCCTGGTCAAAGAGTTTAAAATAAATACCAGGTTTTGTCCCTGGAAGTCAAGGTGGCCAGCATGACGTTATCGCCAATCAACGCACCATAGGGTTATTAAAAACTATGGGTCTAACCTAATATACCTGATGTGCAGGTGGCGATAAAAGCAACTTTTATTTCTTTTCTTTTTTTCTTGTTTTTTCCTTTCACTACTGAGAAAACAATTTTTATTTAACAGAGACATCAGTGGTAATCAGCATAACAGAGGTAGTAGTCAGCTAGAAGATCCTTTGTTACTTGGAAATGAATCTGGATTGTTGAGAGTAATCCAATACACTAAAAACTCCACTACTAAAATACCTTTTAAACTTAATAATTTACTCTTAAAAAAAAAATATTAATTACATTTCAGCTGGTAATTGGCATGTAACTGTGACTACCAGTAGCCAACCTGGCAGTGGCACAGATGCAAATGTTTTCCTGACAGTTTTTGGAGATAAAGGTCACACAGAACCATTTCATCTTGTATCTGAAAATTATGCATGTTTTCAGCCTGGCATGGTGGACCATTTTGATGTAAGTATATTATTCCATAGTTCCCAATATTCTATGAAATTGATTTACAACACAATTGTCACTGAAACTGTGCAGTTGATAATTATTTGAGGTTTTTACAGTTTTGAGAGCTATGATTTTAAACTAGCTAGTGGCATTTGGTGGTTTGATGGTTTGAACAATGGCTCAACATCATGGTCCATGAGTAGTAACCCATAAGTGCTCCGTTCTACTTCTAAATCAAGCCTGAGTCCAAACAATTTCAGTGCATTGCACGAACTCGGTAGCAGCGGCGAGGATCCTGTCTGTGCAATGGGGATAAAGAAAGAAGGAAAAGAAGAAGGAGAAGGAGGAGGAGGAAGGAGGAGGAGGAAGGAGGGAGGAGGAAGGAGGGGGAGGAGGATGGAAGAAGAAGGTTGAAGAAGGAAAAAGGATGAAAAAGAAGAAATAAGTAGGAGGAGGGAGTAAGGAATAAGAAGATGAAGGAGGAAGACAAAGATAGAAGAAGAAGGAAGAAGAAGAAGAATAAAGAAGGAAGATGTAGAAGGAAGTTAACCAGAAGAGTCAGCAGTGGGAGGAGGGAAAGGGGGTGAAGGAGAAGAAGAAGAAGTTATATCCTCCCATTTAAGTTGACCCTCTGCTAACTGTTTAAATCAGTTTGTAGTTTTCATTTGCTTTATTTATTTTTGTCTGTTCTCCATGGTATTCTTTGCATGGTGGCCACACATGAAGACTTGTGTATTCTTTGTTTGCATTTCATCTCCCACTGGAGAATAAGCCCTCAACCAGTTCTTACCAATCATTTTGTCAGGTGGATTCTGAAGAGAAAAAAAAACTGACCTTGGCTCCCAGGTCACCTCAGTCTAAAATGGTGAAATGAAGTACCCTGGAGAGTTAAGATGGTTGGCTGGATGTTGACCACATCACCCATTGAGTGCCAATTGTGTGTACACATATGAGGCTTGCATGTGCCTGATACACCACTGACATGGAAAGAGTCTTTTACTTTGTACTTGATACATTGTTCTGTAGTCTGAATTTGAACTCGGTAGATATGTCATATACTCAACATATTATATAATCTATGTCAACTAATGAGGTTGATCTTACAGACTTTCAGTCAGTCAGCTTGTCCTTTACAGAACTTCTCTCTGTTTGGGCAAGCCTGAAAGTCTTTCTGTCTCTAGCTAATTCTCCAGCCCTGTGTGCTTTCATAGCCAACACATCTTCAATATCCTGAATCCACTTCACAGAGGTCAGTCTCTATGAAGTCTTCTAGAAACTACACCTTCCATGACTGTTCTCTCCAGACCACCTGGGTTAATTTTAATCAGTTCTTATCAACTCTTTCAGTCTCCAGACCATCTAGGTTAATTTTAATCAGTTCTTTTCAACTCTTTCAGTCTCCAGACCACCTAGATTAATTTTAATCAGTTCTTATCAACTCTTTCAGTCTCCAGACCACCTAGGTTAATTTTAATCAGTTCTTATCAACTCTTTCAGTCTCCAGACCACCTAGGTTAATTTTAATCAGTTCTTATCAACTCTTTCAGTCTCCAGTCTACCATGGCACGACATTTGGTCAACCTTACACTTATAGATATGTTTTGGCTTCTTATGTGTATTCTTTATTCTCTATTACCTCTGATGTTTAAGCTTTTTATCACATATGTGTGCCACAAAATAAATGTACATTGAGTTCCCACAATAATTTCAGTGGCCTAAGTTGTTTGAACACCAGTGAGACTTCAAGAGTTTCTCTTTTAGTAATAATATGAGCATTACCTATGGGTATGCGTGGGGTTCATTTTAATCAGTTCTTATAAACTCTTTCAGTTCCAGAACAATTTTACTTCAACTCATTATATTGTTATATTAACTAATAAGCCACTGACCTATCACATCATTATCATTATCATCATAATCAAGTGCCTTGCCAGCTGGTGTAGGTGTTCATGCATCTCCTCAGATCTCAGTGTTCTGAATCAATTCCACTGATCATATTCTTCCATGCTACTGTCCGTACCATCCACTATAATTTCTGTTCATCT